CTGGCAGAGAGGGCACAGTACTGACATTTACATGGCTCACACTGGCAGAGAGGGCACAGTACTGACACCCTCAGCTCCCATCCCTGGGTAACCCAGACACCCTCAGCTTCATTGACCTTTGACCAATTACCCCCATTATAAAAACTTAAAACTCTCCCTCACTAACACTCAGTAGGCTGGTTCCCTTACTCACTCTCAGTAGGCAAGCTCTCTCACTCACACTCAGTAAGCTCTCACCTCACACTCAGTAGGCTGGCTCCCTCACTCACACTCAGTAAGCTCTCACCTCACACTCAGTAGGCTGGCTCCCTCACTCACACTCAGTAAGCTCCCTCACTCACACTCAGTAGGCTGGCTCCCTCACTCACACTCAGTAAGCTCCCTCACTCACACTCAGTAGGCTGGCTCCCTCACTCACACTCAGTAAGCTCCCTCACTCACACTCAGTAAGCTCTCACTCACACTCAGTAAGCTCTCACTCACACTCAGTAAGCTCTCACTCACACTCAGTAAGCTCCCTCACTCACACTCAGTAAGCTCCCTCACTCACACTCAGTAAGCTCCCTCACTCACACTCAGTAAGCTCCCTCACTCACACTCAGTAAGCTCCCTCACTCACACTCAGTAAGCTCCCTCACTCACACTCAGTAAGCTCTCACCTCACACTCAGTAGGCTGGCTCCCTCACTCACACTCAGTAAGCTCTCACCTCACACTCAGTAGGCTGGCTCCCTCACTCACACTCAGTAAGCTCCCTCACTCACTCACACTCAGTAAGGTCTCACTCACATTCAGAAAGCTGGCTCCCTCACTCACACTCAGTAAGGTCTCACTCACATTCAGAAAGCTGGCTCCCTCACTCACACTCAGTAAGCTCTCACTCACACTCAGTAAGCTCTCACTCACACTCACACTCAGTAGTTACTGACCGGTAGCAGAGAGCAGTATGAGGGTCAGTATCAGTCCGTGTCCGGCGCTCTGGGGGGGCTGTGGCCCCGGACTCGGGGATCCCCGGGGTCTCATGGTCTGCGCTCCGGCTCGATCAATGCGGACTCGGAGCCCGGGGACTGGGGGGACACGCCCCCCATCATAGGGACACGCCCACTCCTTCACAGGGACACGCCCACACAGACACTCAGCCCTCCGGCTCGATCAATGCGGACTCGGAGCCCGGGGACTGGGGGGACACGCCCCCCATCATAGGGACACGCCCACTCCCTCACAGGGACACGCCCACACAGACACTCAGCCCTCCGGCTCCATCAATGCGGACTCGGAGCCCGGGGACTGGGGGGACACGCCCCCATCATAGGGACACGCCCACTCCTTCCCAGGGACACGCCCACTCCCTCACAGG